CCGTAGTTACATCAAAGCCCAGCTCATGAAAACTTTTGAAATGAGAGATTTAGGTGAACTAAGCTATTGTCTGGGGGTAGAGTTCACAAGAAAGAATGGAAGGATATCAATGTCACAAACGAAATACATAAATGAAGTCCTGAAAAAATTCAATATGACTGACTGCAAACCAGCTGTAACTCCACTAACACCAGGTCTAAAATTGGTTAAAGGACATGAAAAAGATTGTAACTACCCATACCAAAATTTAATCGGTTCATTGATGTATTTGTCAATAGCCACAAGACCTGACATAACACATGCTGTGAGTTACCTGAGCCAATATAACTCTTGTTTTGGAAAAGAACACTGGATTGCTGCAAAGAGGGTTCTCAGATATTTGCAAGGCTCAAAGAACTCGTGTCTTGAATTTTTCAAAACAGGAAAGCCATTAATTGGAGCAGCAGATGCAGATTGGGCATGCAGTGAAGACAGGAGATCGTACACCGGTTACTGTTTTAAATTTGGCGGGGCTGTAATCTCCTGGGAATCAAAAAAGCAGAGGACTGTAGCTCTGTCTACGTGTGAAGCGGAATACATGTCATTGACTGAAGCAGCAAAAGAAGCCATTCATTTAAAACAATTGATTAATGATATGGGAAGACCTCAAGAAGTCATTGAAATATTTTGTGATAACCAATCAGCTATTACAATGGCTAAAAACTCCATTATAGGAAGTAAATCTAAACATATCAGAGAACATTTTATACGGGAAAAAGTACAAAATGGAGAAATAAAATTGAACTACCAACCCACAGAATACATGGTTGCTGATATTTTTACTAAAGGACTAAGCGAACCAAAACATCACAAATTTCAAAAGTGCCTAGGACTTTTACCTAGCTAAGTTTGGTGAGGGGGGATGTTGAATATTGCAACCCAACTCATCTAGTCTGGATTAGTGATGGACCATCATATGTATAATAAAAACGATTATATACTATTCTGTCTTCTCATATTCAACATTAATTAACTACTAAATCATTATATACAAATTGTTTTTTGGTTGTGACACAGAACCCCTTGTGATGTTTAAAATAAAGTTAAAGACTACCAGCGAATTCCCGGACGCTGTAGCAGACCTTATTTATCAACATGGACTTCCTGAACATGGTACATTTCCTGAATTTTCCAATGTCCTGTTCGGCTTTCAAAGGGAGAGGGAGGTCATTAAAATGTTTTACTGCATTGAAATGGAAGTTTTTCAGAAAGAAAGTGGTTGAGTGTCGTGGTACTGAAAAATTGAAATTGTTGCGGAGAGGATAGCTATGGATACTTGGAGAGCTATATGATGATTGGTTTTTCTTGATAAATGATAATGTTTCTAAAATGTAAATGGAAGGGAAAGTTAGAACTTCATGTGATCTGAAGACATCTTTGCAGGATTGAAGACGGTGAAGGGAAAAAACAGTTCGGAGAGCCTATTTTGAAGCTTGATTATGAACTGAGTCCTTTGGCTTTCACACCCCCAGACAGGTACAGCATAAGTCAGATAAAGATAAACAAGTCCATAGTAGGCTGTCAAGAGGACCTCAGACGAAACGGTATGTTTAAGAGTGCGGAGCATGAATGTTCCTACAGATATCTTGTTTGAAACGTGTTCAATATGCTTGTGAAATTTGAGGTTCTCATCATGAATTAAACCAAGGAACTGTACATCTGGGGAGGGGCAAATAGTGGTATCATCAAGAAGAACGTGTATGTCAGTGTCAGTGGATGTGCTATGCTGAGAAATGCTAAATTTAAGGAGTATGGCTTTGTTTGCATTCAAGATTAGTTTATTATCCTCACAACACTGAAGCAGGCAGTTGTATTAAAGAAATAAGGTCTGTTCTAAGGCCTGCATACTGGGATTTGATTGCCTTCTTCTTACTATGTACAATACAACTTTAAAATAAAACCTACAGAATACTGTGAATGAATGTGGACATTCTGCTACGGGCTATTGGTGATTATATTAAAATTGCCATTCAAAACAAATGTACAATTCAAGGACAAATTCCTGATCATCCATCATTCATTATTATTTTAGTTTCCAGGTCGGCCAGACACCATAATCAATATTTTATAACTCATTGCTTTTATTGATAGCTGGGATTGAAAGATCAAGACTCCTGCAAACTAAAAATATTAACTGTACAATCTATTTACGTAAATTCTTTGTAATTTGATTTTTACAAAAAGAAAAAAACTCATCAAAATGTTTCTGTCACTCTCATGCACTAAGTACAAGAATGTTAACTAATTTGCATGCACTTCATGCTATCCAATTCCCAAAGAAATGTATCAATGAAGTTCATTCTGACCTGTTTGCGACCCAGATGGACCAGGCTTTTGCCCATTGTGTGCAAGGGATTTTGGAATGAAAAAAGGAATTGTTGCTAGGTTCAAGAGCAAGTTTGATGGAGTAACAGAGCTCAAGTCACAGAATGTAAATGTAGGTGGCTGTGCATCTTTAAATGTTGATGGGCGTTACATATTTTACTTGGTAACAAAAGATTGCACCTATGGAAAAGCAACTTACGAGACCTTGCAAAGCTCACTGAGATGACTAAAGGCTAAATGCCAGGAGTTAAAGGTTTCTACGCTGGCAATGCCAAGGTTTGGGTGTGGACTTGATGGACTTAAATGGAGCATTGTAAAAAATATCATCAGCAGAAACTTTCAAGACCTAGATGTGACTATCAACATTTACCAATTTAACTGTAGGGGAGTACCTGAATGGGAGATGAAAAAACAGACTATCTAATTTCTGACAGTTCAACAATGGACGAGCAGATTCAATCTCAGAAGAAGATAATTTCCGGTACGAAAAAAAATACCCCAGAATCTGTGAACTCTGGAAACAATACCAATGATGCTAATCAACCTCAGCACTGAAGTACCCAACAGAACCTCTGAAGTAAATTCATCTGACACAGGCTTCTGCGGATTTGAAACACCTGATAGAAGTGAGATGGAAAAAGAGACTGATTACTGTTCAAGACCAGATGCTCAACTAATCAGAGGGATGTGTCATACAGTCTTCAGTCACTCTTCAGCCTTCTTCATCTACTCCAAGGATGACTAAAAACAACTCTCCTAAAGGACATTATATATTTAAGGAAAAGACAACTGAAATTGTATCCAGTATAGAATACAACACTACTTTAGGAGGTATGGCCAATGGGGAGTCAGAACAGATCCCTGCAAACCTAACAAATCATGAAAGTAGAAAAGAAATTAGTTCAGAAGATGTTAACCTTTTAAGCTTGAGCCGTCTCAAAAGTAAAGGAAGTTCATGGCTGGCGCATTTGAATATTCAAGGGCGGTTTATTGATAAATTTGACGATTAAAAAATACTATTACATAATTCATCTGTTAATTTTTTGTGTCTTAATGAACATTGGTTAAAGGAAGAGCAGGGATTTTTTTTTAACTCCATTCCTGGATATAAGTTAGGTACAGCATACTATAGAAAGAACCATGTAAAGGGAGGATCATGTATAATATTGAAAGATTATATTGATTTTAAAGAAAGGGAAGATTTGGAGATATTCAATCAGGATTTAGTATTTGAATCTTCTTCTATTGAGGTTCCAAAGCAAAACTTGATTATTGTCTCTCTTTACAGTGAACCTGATAGGAGTAATGTACCTTTGTTTTTAAGTAAACTAGAACAATTTCTGACTGCACTGTATAAAGAATAAAAAATTAAACATATTTATATACTAGCTGTAACCCGCGGGCTTTGCCCCGTTTAACTTCTTAATTTTCAAGATGATCTCGTTCGCATGGCTCAATCACGTCCTGGTTGAAGTTCGTTCGCTACGGTCACTCACCTTTAGGTTCAAACTCGTTCGCTACGCTAACTCGCCTCCAGGTTGAAGTTCGTTTGCTACGCTCACTCACCTTTTGGTTGCAAATTAGTTGTTGTTGTAAATCTAAAAAAATAATAGTGCTGCACCCTGTTGGTAATCCTTGTAACTTTAATGCTATTGAACATCATAGAACAGAACCAACTTGTTTAATTGAAACAGCTGTTAAGATTCATTAATTCCATTTCTCATAAGGTACACATGGGAAACTCTAGAGCCACTGGGGCGGAGCCCAGAGGTCGGAGGGTAAAATCCTTACTTAGTGAGCGTCTACTACCCAAAAGGAAGATGCCTGCCAAGTTTCAGGTTCCAAGGTCTTATGGTTTCTGAGATTTTGTGATGAGTGAGTGAATGAATGAATGAGTCAGTGGTATTTGAGCTTTATATATATAGATCTGCTGATTTTAATATTGATGTTAATTAAAATAATTAATTAAAATATATATATATCAATAACATTGAGCATATCTTGGAAGCCTTGGATGAATCACAGAGGGTATCTGGTATTTTCTGTGATCTATCCAAGGCTTTTGATTGTGTATTGCATGAGATTATGTTAGAAAAGTTAAAAAAATATAATTTTTCAATAACTATATTAAAATGGTCAGGCACTGCTCCAAAAGGCAGTAGTCCGAAAATCTCGGACCAGTGCCTTTCGGAGCACTGCCTTTCAGACCACTGCTTGGGTGTCATAAGCTGCACATAAAATTTTTGAGACTTAAAAAAAATACCATTACAGTGATACGTTTGTTTTATTACAAAATGTTGCGTAAGTATATAAGCTATAAGCGGCATTACAGCTCATGAATTCAAATTATAATATTCATAGCTACAAACTATCCAGGAGTTTATTGGTTGTAGAGACATCTTCTCTTGACCTTGAGACTGGTAGTTGCATCAGTCAAGATCACAGCAGAATTAAGCTCGATTATATCAGCTATTCATTATCTTACACCCTCTCACTCATTCCTTGAATAGTTTGGCTTTTGTCCAACATCACCAATGAACGGATAAATTATCACTTCTTATTTATGTGTACCTTCTAAAATTTTACCTCTCTTGGATAGCAAGTCATTAACTATTAGGCAGACGTTGTCTCCTTACCTTAACGGCTTCAAGTATATTCCGTTCAGCCTTTGTATGCGCTGTGTCTTTTTGATTGCGTACAATGGCGGCTTTTCGGAGAACTTTCATTGCGTAAATAGTTCCTGAGTTTTGGCCAGTAATCTTTCTGACTTGGAACACTTTACCATAGCCTGAAATAGAAGATAGACAAAAAAATAATCTATATAATAATAGGCAAGCATGTTTCTTTAAAACCTTTTTTCTCTGCTCGTGTGTATCGCAGGAGAAATCTATCCATACTGTTAGAAAGATATTTTCCTCTAAATGTGCAGAATCCCTTTAAAAATTAAAATCGACTCAAATATGAGCACAAAAAGTATTTGAAATTTTAAAAATTAACATGGGCTTTATGGGTTGCCATGCTGGTGACGAAATAACATTGAAATATAAACAGAAAATCAAAACAAAAGGAATAAATTACAATCACATGTGTTATTTACAGTGTGGGGTGAAAATAGAGAAGCCTGTACCTTTGACTTAAAACCAGACATAGACTAGTAAGATTTAAATGACACACATCATATCAAAATTGGTCAAAAGTTTGGTTTTTAAATAAATATTTATTCCTATTTTTGAAACCTATTTTGGTCCTGCGAAACGTCGGAGTAAATCCAAGGACAATTTTTTATGTGCGTGTATGTGTGTGTTGTGTGTCTTCGTTGTGTTACATTCTGACGAGTCCTGGATTAACAAATTAAGGTGAGTGAAGCCCACAAGCTGATCAATACAGTAAATATTTATTGTTAAGTATCTGTTTTATACTACAAATTTGTACTTATATGTGTTCATTTAAGTCAAAGTAAAAAAAAACACTTTAAATATTTTGTTGGAATTGGTTAAATAGTTTGTTACGTCGTCAATCCTAAAATTAGTCTATGGCGACTGTTTAGTACCGAATTCGGTTTTAAATAGTATTTTGTGGAGCTACTAGTACTGTCGCTTCTGACGTCATGAAGACGACGCATCCCCACCACCGCAGAGGCACTCACGCACTGACCGACGTCGCGCCCAGACGCACGCTACCGCAACTCCCTATAATGAACATTTAATTTGTTTTTGTAAACTCTGTCACTTTACCAGTTATGTATCAATATACCCCTCTTTTATGTAATTTCTGAGTGAGTCATTTGTCCCCCGCTACACTATTGTCTACACCGCTCCTACGATGACAGCTACCATCTACCTCGTTGATGCCGCTCTTGGACCTGCTTCGGACAACCCTGGACCACACCAAGGCCTCCCAGACTTCAGTATAGGTATTGGTAGCTTCACAAACCTTTTTGTTTAATTTTGTCTGCCCGTATTGTCTGTATTTGTCTGCGGCCGGCCATAAGTACCGCGGTGACGGACCGATGCAACTAACCAACTCCTGTCTTTTGACATTGACCTTGGAGGGGGTGAAACAGCTGATTGTGAGCGCTTCCGTTATCAATGTCTTCAATCCTATCAAATATTATGTTACGGCCAAAATTTAGTTTTTCATTTAAACTGTCATGAGGATGTTTTTTTGTTGCTTTGTAGACTTCTAAACTTTCTAGAACATTCATTAAGGAGCCTTTGGTACATTTGTGTAAAATATTTAGGCTATCATTGCAGCTATTAACATTGTGGTTTTCGTTAATCAGGTGATCAGCGAACTTGGAGTGTTGAGTTCTCGATTTAGGTTTAGGAAGGTGTTCGGACCTTTTCTTGAACGAACGACCTGTTTGTCCTAAATATATTTTGGGACAGTCACTGCAAGATAGTTTATATACTCCAGTGGCCTCTAGGCTGTTGGAATGAGTTGTTTCGGTAGTACGTGGATTTAGGAGGCTTTCTAATTTATTCAAAGTTTTGTACGCTAAAGTTACGTTATGTTTCTTCAATTCATTTTTCAAGGTGAAGTGTAGATTGCTACCATATTCTATGGATACAAAGTTTTGAACGGGCTTTTCTATTTGATTTCTGTTTTTTTGTTTACGGATGATATTATCGATAATGTTACTGTTATAACCATTGTTGACGGCTATGCACTTTAATAATGCATATTCGTCATTGTAGTCAGCTTGGGACATGGGTATTTTTAGAAGCCTATTAACAAAACTATTGTAAGCGGCCATCTTATGGGATTGTGGATGATTAGATTATGCGTGGTTAGTATGGTCTGTTGTTGTAGGCTTTCTGTAAATTTTGTAGGCAATGTTGTTGTTGTTTTTGGTCATTGTAAGATCAAGGAAGTTAATTGAATTATTATTTTCGACTTCGAGCATGAATTTGATGTTCTTAGTAATATTGTTCAAGTAATTATTTAAAAGTTGTAGTTGCCTTGGATTGCCATTTAAAACCAAAAATGTGTCATCTACATATCTTTTATAGTAGATGATTTTCTTAGAAAATGTATTGTTGTCGAAGAGGATGTTTTTGTTTTTAAAACTATTGAGGTATATTTCGGAGAGCACACTCGATAACGGAGAGCCCATCGCGAGTCCCTCTTCATGTAGGTAATACTTCCCGTTAAAGGTAAAGTAGTTCTGGTCTAGTGTTGTTTTCAGTAGGTATATTAATTCATTAATAGTGTCATTACTTAGTTGGGAGTTAGTAGACAGGTTTTCTCTGGCTAATTCTAATGTTTCCTATATTGGGACATTGGTGTATAAGTTTACAATATCCAGTGATGCTAAAGTATGCCGGTTTTCTATTTTAATATCTTTCAGCAAATCTATTAGCGCTAGGCTTTTTTTTAGGCTATGGTTCTCGTTCATTTTGATGTTATTTCTGAGAATTTTGTCCAGAACCTTTGCAATTTTGTAGGAAGGTGCTGAGGTGAAATTTACCATAGGTCGGATAGGCATGGCCTCTTTGTGTACTTTTGGCAATTCCCTCAATATTGGGGCCTTAGGATTAACCATTTTGAGGTAGTTGCTACGGTCTCCAATGATGATATGTTGTGATTTATTTATGGCGTTTTTTATTTTTGTTTGAAAAAGGTCGGTAGGATCTTTAGAGATTTCTTTGATATTGTTATTGTTTATCAAATCTTAAACTTTGTTGTTCTAATAGTCAGTTTTCATGATCACAATGCACTGACCTTTGTCAGCTTTAGTTGCAATACATTCATGGGTGATTAGTTTTTCTTTTATATATTTTAAGGTTTTTATATCACTCTAGAGGTGTTTATTTTTATTTTTATTCCGATTCAGGATTGATTTGACTTTATTGTCAATGGTTTGTCTGCCATAATTTTTTGAATTTTCGTCTTTGATAGAGCTAATGGCTATCTCAGCATTTAACAATTCATAGGTTAGGGTTTTATAATATTCCATTTTCCATTTAAGGTGTTGTGCTTTAGTCCTTTATTAAGAACATTCAGTTCAGGTTCAGTGAAAATTATATCTGTGCAATTTTTTACTCTAGAAAAAAATATATGGTTTGCTATGAATGCTTCGATTGGTTTGGATTGTAGTTCTACGAGTTTATCTAATTTACTTTTTGGGTTTCCTTCTTTCTTAGAATGACTTTAGTTATTTGATTTTCAATGTTTGATAAGACGTTGTTGGTTTGAGAAGGGTGGATTGCATTTAAAAGGTTGATGTGTGAGTTCAAGAGTAGGGTATTTAGCATGTCTTTCTTTCTATAGAGAAATTTAATTTTGTTGTTTATCCAGATTCTTTCAGCTAATGATTTGGCCTTTTGAGCGGAAAAACTTTTATTCTTTACTTTCACTTGAACGTAGTTTGGGATGATGTTCAAGTCCATGCATATTTTGTTAAAATTTATGTTCTGACAAGTGTTCAATAATTTTAATTTGGCATTCTTGTATTTTAGGCAATTTTAGCCTGACTGGCGTCCTATTTATTCATCATTGCCTCCAGGATTGATTATTGACTAATTATTTGACTCACCTCCTTTGCCAAGGACCTTGCGCAGTTCAAAATCCTGTGGTCCTGTCTTCTCCTTGTGCATGTTGACCACATGTTCGGACAAGTGGACCGTCTCATGATCATCCGAACTGGAACAAAGAACACCAGCACACTAAGCAAATTTTCAGTTATTTTGGTTAATAATGACATGCATACAAAGGTTTTTTCTTTCTTATTGCCAAAGGAGATCCATCATTTACTTCCAAAAACACCATCCTGAAACTTGCGCCCGCGGGGCATATACAATTTTAAGGACGTTAATAGGCCAGGTTCATGATCTACCTAAAAACATTTCAGCCAATTCAGTTAAGTATATTTCACACTTACCCAAGACAGAAAGCACTTAGTCTTCATGATATAATAGATTACACTACATTTAAACAAAATGTCTTTACCATAATGATTAACAGGAGAGGGTTGGTGAATAAACTAAAAATGTGGGCCTACTTTGGAATAATCCCAACTGATGAATATTGTCCATGTTATAATGCTCCCTTGCATGCTTAGTCAAATGTGAATTTGTTTGCAATTAATGTAACAGACACATTTGAAGTTAGTGGAACAGTTGATGAATGTAATATTTGGAAAGATCCAGTGAGTTATGCCATTGGGACCGCGTCTCGTTGTCCCGCCGTCTAGTTGTACCTACGTCTACTTGTACCTCGAGGCCTAGGGACAACTAGTCGTAGGTACAACTAGACGTAGGTACAAGTAGACGGTGGCACACCTGACTAGTTGTACCTGCAGATTTTTAGGAGGTACAACTAGACGCAGGTACAAGTAGACGTAGGTACAACTAGACGTGAATCCCACCGACAAGTAGTATCACCTAGCTTGTATGGATGCGACCAGTTGTCCCTACGACTAGTGGTCCCTACGACTAGTGATCCCTACGTCTAGTTGTACCTACGTCTAGTTGTACCTACGTCTAGTTGTACCTACGACTAGTTGTACCTACGACTTGTTGTACCTACAAGTATTTTGCGTCCTTACAGTCTAATTGTATCTATCCTTCAATTCGTTACCCTGTTTAATTGATTACTGCACGAGTACATTTTAATAATACCCTTAATTAAATCAGAAACTGCTGTGTTTGAGTATGATTGGCAAATATTTTTCACCGCACTACGATGTTTTAGTAGTTTTACAGACGTTAATTGGAGGCTGAAAGCTACTCATTGCTGTCCAGGGTCGAAATGACAGCTATAGTTGTAATTAAAATTTTCCAGCCCTAGTACCGAAAATCGCTTATTTAATTAAAACATTTATATATATTATTAAATATACTTGCAGTATATCCTTAATGAATTGCAATAGACCGCTGCCTAGCAATTATGTATTACTATTTTTGCTGATTCCTTTAAATATTTTTTCACATAACCTTAAAGTATTTGCATTGATTAGAGTGCATTTCTTATAGTTTACAATGGATTTCCCAGTGAACAATGAACAACGAAGTGTACAATGAAGTTGAGGTCCAGTGGTTGAAAACTCGACCAAAAATAATATGCAATGTACAGACTTCTCTATTTAACATACACAGTAAATAATACATGTGATTGGAAATTTTTCCATTTCAAACAAACTAGAGAAGCTAGTTAAACTATATAAACTAAATTTGATACTGAGCTAGGTATGTGTACACTGGCTATGTAGTCTGCAACTAAACTAATATTGTAATATTGGTCGTGACTAATACCATACAAAAACACTACTACATAAATTACTATATCCCTTAAACTGGTGACAAGTTGAAGGGGAGATACAACTAGCCATAGGTACAACTAGACGTAGGTACAAGTAGGCGTAGGTACAACTAGTCGTAAGTACAAGTAGTCGTAGGTACAAGTAGTCGTAGGTACAAGTAGTCGTAGGTACAAGTAGTCGTAGGTACAAGTAGTCGTAGGTACAAGTAGTCGTAGGTACAACTAGTCGTAGGTACAAATAGACGCGACGTATGAGGTACAAGTAGACGGTAGCGTACCCGACTAGTTGTACCTGCAGATTTTTAAGAGGTACAACTAGACGTAGAGACAACTAGACGTAGGTACAACTAGACGTCCGCACCATCGTCAAGTTGTACCTACAGCTTTGGACGAGGTACAACTAGACGCCTGTCACCAAAATGCAGCAGGTACAACTAGACGCCGGTACAAGTAGACATCGCCCCATGCCATTGACTATTGGATACTGCACAGTGCACACAGGTATAACTTTCAGCTCACAGGATTTTTTCTTTTTTTGTCACTTCTCTCCCCTGTCACAATAATATCAAAAACAATGTTCTAATATTACCAGATAGAAAATTTTATCAGATCGGTTTGATTCTGCCAATTATAACTGAGGAATGTATTACAGCTTACACTTTCCTCATTTACAAGACAGCAGTAAAAAGTAATACAAATTAGTAATCTATGATGAGATTGCTCAGTTTTTACAAGCATTTTACTTATATTTTTTAGACCTACACAAGAAAACCTAAAAAAACAACTTATCAAACAAAAGAAACTAGGAGTCTTTTTCAAACAACAGGTGTATTAAGGGGGTCAATTGACATTTAATATGATAAAAGACTTATCAGTGTTGACCTATTTCTATGATTAACACTGATGTCTTAGAAAGACTAAACTAAATGCCCTACAATAGCGTTAGGAACATTATTGTTGGATATTTTATTTCAAAGTTGGATGACATTGTAAAAATTAACATCAATGTAAACTGAGTTGATCAAAAATACAATTTAATATGATGTTTGACATTGTACAATTAAATCGTGCCTTAAACATCAATAATTGAAAACAGATTTCATGTAAAAATCTATATAATTAATACGCTACATGAAACTTTGTCGGTTGAACTCCTCCGCCATTTCTTAAACGATTTTATCCATTGAAGTCTCATTGGAAAGAGCGTGTCTTGTAGATTTGCAAACTGGCCTTATATTTTTGAAAAAGTCCCTTGGGCTCTGCCCCGGTGGCTTTGAAAGTTCCCATGTTATCCTTATGAAGAACATCATTGTTTATATTTTGATCAGCTGTATAATTTAATTGCTGTTATTTATTTTTCAATTCAATTAAACGCATTGAGTACATTTATCACTATTTGAGTTTGTGTAAACATAACCCCCAAGACGGATCGTGTTAGTATGGTTGGATCTTAAATTTGTGTATTCATCGCTGTTTTGTGTTGCTATGACGGATCGTGTTAGTATGATTGTAACTTAAATTTGTGCATTTATCGTTGTTTTGTGTAGCTATAACTTGTTTATTTCTTTTCTTGTCTTTTTCTTTTCAATGCCTCCGACGCGACGACAATGAAACATAGACAGGAGGCGTAATCGTGATAACGACCGCAGCTACAGAACAGTGACACGTAATAGGCTCAACTGTTAGGTTAAAAATTCGCCCTAACACTAGGCCTACCCCAAAAAGACTTTTCGTTCTCAATTGACCCTCTATCAATGACCTGTGTTGACTGTACAGCGAGGCATTTGGAGAAGGAGAAAACCGGCCGGAATGCTTTAGGTTTATCAATAACAAAGATAAACATGGTCTGAGTTAGGCCTACACACCAGTAATCTTTGAGTTGACTCTTTTAAATTCATTGTAAATATGACTGTTATTCGTTTTGAAATAACTCCTGTTATACTTTGCAATTGCTCGAATTCGAGCAACATGTACACTAGTTAAATATTAATATGATTATGTAGTTAAAAAAAAGTACAGAATAGGTTATTTTGTAAAACCTCTTCTAAACTAAACGGAGGTTTCATCAAATCTAATTCAACCTGCTACAGAATTTACACTCCTTAACTATACGAACATTCGAAATAACAAAAAAGGTTAAAAGATTAGTATATTAAATATATCTAGCCTACTTCAAATCTTTAGTTAGTATGTGTAACATTCTTAGTAAAAAAAACCTTCATATGCAGCCATGAAGTGGACATGTTCACAACAGAATCTTGACCTTGACAACAAAAGGTCATTAACTAAAAACAATGGCATTGGTACAACAGGCAAAACCTAGCTGACTCTGCTACCAACCCTTCTAAAAATATTCTGAAGACAAACACAATATTACTAATTTTTGTTTGTATATTCACTTGAAGATTTCGTAGAAAACGTATAATTAGGCCAATTATTTTAAGTATTTGGTATTTTGGTTTTTGTTATTATTTGTTTGTTTCAATAGATTTTAGTTTTAAGACAAATTACTTGTCAAACATTAATATAACGTGATAATAATAAATAAATAAAATAAACTCTAAAATGAATAAAAGCCAAAAGAAATAGCCGAGCTACTTTTAATATATTTTATTTAGGCCTATTCATTGTAAACATGCTTCTTACTGTGGAGGCGTGAAAAGTAATTTTAACTTCTTTAGGGCAAAATAGTTATTTTTGTAACTAGTGTGCAAAGAGGTACTTTGCTGCACACAAGAGACATGTTTACGCACAAGCCGCCGGGGAGTGTGGAAAGTTTGTCGAGTGCAGCAAAGGCAATTTGCACTCGTGTTACACATTATATTTTCCCTACGGTTATTATAAAGCATATTAATAATTAGTCTTTCAAACACTATACCACACGTTTTTAGGTTAGGATCCAGGCGTTGAACGAAATGGGAAACGCTGCACCAACTGATCGTAGTTGTAGTATCTTAAGGTGTTACCAACTTATTTTCAAGCGTACATGTATTACGTGCCTAATAAAAGCACGCTGTTTTGTGTTGTTTGGTTGGAATACTGGAGTATGGCAAAAACAAGAGTGCAGCAAAAGTAAGTTAATGCAGCAATTAGCAACTTTCTGTACTATAATCAGTGCAAGGAAGCCCACTTTGACAGGTGACTGTAGGAAATAGTTATTTGTGCAACTAGTGAGCAAAGTGAGCAATTGCCTCACTCGAGAGAAATCCTTACTCATGAGCCGTAGACGAGTGAGGAATTGTTTCTCGAGTGAGGCAATTGCACTTTGCACTCGAGTTGCACATTATATTTTTCCTACAGTTACCATAAAACAAATAAATTGGTAAAGAAACGTAACATATTTTTACACAGAAGTGAACTTTTAATCTGACATTTAATGTGAA